TTTGCCACTTGCTGCCTCCATGCTTTATCCTCTAACATGTTCTGCCTTTGGGCTCTGTGTGGGATAATCTTGGATGAATGTTTTCCTGCTATATAAGATTCTCTGAAGTCCTGGTAACTTTCCATGATTTTTTTTTTCCTTTATGGACTATTATGTGATGTGACATTGGTCACATCATGTAGACAAATAGATTGATGTGAAAAATACCAGGATTATGTATCCTGAACCCAGATGGAATCCAGTAAAGTTCTTCCTTAATAATATATGACTATTGTTCTTGTTTTAACCTATATGCATATTAACCCTTGTATTAGCCTCCCAGGGCTGCTGTGACAAATTAACACAACCTGGGTGGATTTTTAAAAAAAAACATTTACTCTCACAGTTCTCAAATCAAAAGGACCACATGCCCTCTGAAGGCTGTAGTGCCTCACCTCTTCCAACTTCTGGTGTCTCCTGGCATTCCTTGGCTTGTGGCAGCATCATTCCACCTCTGCCTCCATCTTCACATGGCCTTTCCCCTGTGTCTCTGTGTCCTTTTCTGTCTCATACAAGGACTTTGTCATTGGAGTTAGGGTCCACCCTAATCCAGTATGATCTCATCTTGATCCTTTCATTACATCTACAAAGCCCTATTTCCAAATAAGGTCACATTCTGTGGTTCCAGGTGGACATGGATTTGGGGTGACACTATTCAAGTCACTACAATCCTATTTTGAAGCTGGAATAGAATCAAAAAGGTTTCTGATTCATATTAAAACAAATTATTTTGCCAAAATACCCTATAAAAGTATATGGTGACATTGAGTCCTACAGCTGTTTCCAATAAAAACGACCAAACCCTCCATGACAAGGCAGCTGTTCGGTGGCATCTGAAGTGTGATGTCCATACTGCTCTGTTTTGGTCAGATGGTTTTCCATCTGGCTGACTTGAGCCCTCACCTTGTTTTGACAGCAAGGAAAACTGTCAGTGATTGAGAGTCCTTTTTTTTCATTGGAAGGAAGGAAGGAAGCAATAAATAGAAAACAGAATGAGTGGATGCCTTCAAACTCTGATACTCCATTCTGAGGTTTACTTGGTCCCCTAAGTAAGTACACGCTAAAGTACTTTCACATGCTGGCTGTGACCATCAGTGCACAGCCTGTCTGCGGGTATTTGGTTTTAAACTGACTGGTTTTCAACTTATAGCCTAGCCTTAGAGCTTTTTTAAAAATTGTGTGAGTAAATAGAGGCAAAGCAACTCAAATGTAAGAGAACAGGGTCCGACCCCAACTCATTGGTGCCCCTCCCCTCTAGCCCCTGTGCCTGGGAGGCTCTGAGGAACCCACAGTGAAGGGAGTTCTGCCCAGCACCTTGTGAGATTTGAGCATCTGTTTCTCAGTCCCCAGGCTGTCATCATTGTTCTTTAACAACATCTGGAAGGAAAAGAGCTGTTTACAAAAAATCATGCATGGTCTTTGAGCATTCATTCCACAGTCACTTCCTGAGCACCTGCTTTGTGTCAGGCATTGTGTCCTCCCAGGGCTGGGGGTACAGCTGTGAGCAAAGGTGACAGTGCCCTTCCACCATAAATGACCCCCCACAGGGTAGGTCACGGGTGACAGGCTTCTTGCCCTTTAGTTCAGTGTTTTAGGGCCACTGTTCACTATGCAGAAAACCATTAAACCTCCAAATCTCTTGAGAGGCAAGGAGGGGATAAGGGTTGGGTCTTAAATTTTCATGAGGGGCTGGGCACGGTGGTTTCGCACCTGTAATTCAGCACTTTGGTAGGCCAAGGCAGGTGGATCCCTTGAGTTCAGGAGTTCAAGACCAGTTTGGGCAACATGGCAAAACCCCAACTCTAAAAATTATATATATATAAATTATCCAGGTATGGTGGCATGCGCCTGTAGTCCCAGCTACTCAGGAAGCCAAGGTGGGAGGATCGCTTGAGCCCAGGAGGCGGAGGTTGCAGTGACCCAAGATTGCACCACTGCACTCCAGCCTGAGTGACAGAGCAAGGCCCTTTCTCAAAAAAAAATAAATAAATAAAAAATCATGAGGAAGCCTGAATGGGAATGAAAAACAAATCAAGAATCAAAAGCAGAGGGCTGTGTCTTTTATTCTTGCACCGTGTGAACTTTATTAAGAACTAAAATCATGTGATGGTAACCCATGGGCACACGCTGAGTACAAACTTGGAAAATTGTACCAGCATCATTAACTCAACTGGGGTTGCTTTGTGTTAACATTGTGTATCGTTCACAGATGTCAACAATAAGAGAACACATCTCTCTATATAAAATTGTTACAAACATTTTAAATTATAAGGAAAAGAAAAAAAAAATGCAAAAGTACAAAGACTAAACTCACAACATCCTACCAGCAGAGAACACTTAGGATAGCTGAGATCCCAGTGTTTGTTCAAACTTCTACACTCAAAGACTCAGATTTATGCAGGAAGTTGAACATCTCTTGTGTCACCAGATCTGTCAGTGAAGCTGATGATAGTCTTGGGACACATTTGAGAGTAATGTGACAGTGGTCTGGGAACTCTCACTGTTGGCTCTGCCCTCTGGATGCAGAGACTCCAAGGCAGTCAGCAACGCCACCTGTGGGATCGTCTCCTCCAGATAGACAAAAAAAAAAAAAAAAAAAAGCCAAAGGATTGGTAATGGGTACAAGGCTGCTCATAGATGGCAGAGGGACTGTGTTGTGCTAATGTGGAAATGCCAAGCCTTCAGAAAAGTAGCCCTTGAATGAGAGATTCTTCAACTAAATTCTACCTTTCCTGGAAAGCCTTGGCAGTGCCATCAGCCCACCCACTGCCTACTCAAGGTTTGTAGGAAGAGGCAAGTGGGAAAGGCCTGTATGAACTTAGGGTGAATATATCTCACCGGTCTATACTGCCCATACCAAGACCCTGTGTCCTAGGTCACCCCCGCTCTTCCATCTAAAAGCACAAAGCTAAGCTTTCCTTCAGAGTTAGGTTCAATCATCCCAGGACAGAGGCAGGAGAACAACAGAGATGCCCCCAGGGAGAAGCTAGTCCCCAGTGGGGCTGTCACCCTGACCTGAGTGCCAGGAACACACACAACTCTTGTGGAAATAAGAAGCTGTCATGGCAGTTGTCGAGTGCTTTCTCTAACCTACTGTTTGGCTCATCCACTCCAACACAACTCAGCTTAGGGGGCATAGAATTTAAACACCTATGAGAACTGAACAGCTTATATGCTGATGTTTCAAACTTGGCAGAAAGACCAAAAATTAGAAACAAATGCTTGGTGGCCTCCATTCATTTGAATATTAGGCCAATATTTTGGTTTCATTCTGTATTGCCCAGTGAGTCAATCATATATTTTTTCCATGGGTGAGGTAGCAGTTATGCAGCTTTTATTGTGTTTGGTAGTCATTGGGCTTATTCATATAAGCCCTTAGGTAAAAATAAACTGTGGATGTTCCAAGACAGCAGTGGCCACATACATTTTTAATAATGTTTCCAAGTTTGTAAACATTTTCTCCAATGCCATGATGATGCTTATAAAGAGCAGGATTTATGCGAGCGACTATGCATGGCCTTATAAATACCTTCCCATTCACACTTGATTAGCTCACTACCGTGTTCTATTCCATGTATTAGTGCAGGGAGGACCAACAATGGAAGAATGAGTTATATGATTGTTTTATTTCCCTACAACCATCTTCACTCCTTATCTCATGACATTTCTCTTGGTAGCCATAGTAGCCATGAATGTGTGTTCTCTGCTATCGGCTTCTCTCTTGACAGAGTCGCTTACAAGAACTATGGAAATTGGCTAAATTTTACCTTATGCAGCATTGTCTTACTGATATTTTTATGTTGTTGCAGTTTACATAAGAATAAAAGTCATGATATTGGGACTTGCCATAGTAAAAAAACAGAGGGAAGAGTAAATTGAATAGCTATTTCTTGCTTTACAAGAATCCATTTAAATTAATAGGATTAAAAGTATGTAATGATACCACTTGCAGTTTAACCTAGGCCAACCTGTGAAGTGGAAAGTCAAACCCCGTAGTGAGAAAATCAATACACTATTGCAGATTTTTTGATATAGCAGGAAGATTAGAAGTCAGAGGGCTTAATTCCATTTGTAGAATTGCCCTTTCTTCACCCTTTTTCCTTCAGCAAGTGTGGACTCATTTAACCTTTCCTTGCTTGGTATGATTTGCGTTTTGAATCTGTGGAAGGATCATCAATCATCCATCATCACTGCATACTGTGGTTGCTATTGCTAGCACTTGTTCTTTTCCAGGTTACCTAAAATCAATACCTCTTCCAGAAGAGTGATTTTTTTCCCCCACACCACCTCATTCATGGTGGTAAGCAGTGCTTGCAACACTGGACCGTCCAGGAAGCTTTTCGTTTCCGTGCTGGCCTGGAGCAGTGTTTGAAACCAAGCAAGTTCTATCAGCCAGTCCTAGCTGGGCAGGTGGTGAGTGGGCCGTGCAGATGAAAAGAGCGAGCCCCCGGTGGTTTCATTTCTCTCCTGTATTTTCAGGGCTTGTTGCAGAGGTTTGGTGGTTTGGAGTGACGAGTTTCCTTGTGGCTCTTTACCATTTCTTTTTTGTTTTTTTGTTGTTTTTTTTTTGACACAGAGTCTGGCTTTGTTGCCCAGGTTGGAGTACAGTGGTACACTGCAACCTCTACCTCCTGGGCTCAAGCCATCCTCCCACCTCAGCCTCGCAAGTAGGTGGGACTACAGGCACTCAACTCTTTGCCATTTCTCTCAGTGTATAATAACCCCTTGGTAGATGAATGATGAGCTTCGGAACTAAGTAGATGATAATAATCTGCAGGTCTTGCCTCAGAATCTGGTAAGCATCTCATCTGGAACAACTGGGCCTGGTTTCACAGTTGGAAAGGGAAAGATGAGGGACCTTAGGGGGCTGCAGACAGCATGGTCAGCAGCACTCATCAGGCTCCTCCTGCAGTGCACACACATGTGTTTATGTTCATGTTCACATTCATGTTTGTTCTCAGGGCGGCAGCAGCAGCTGGATGCAGAGCGCCTGAACAGCTACGTAAACGCTGACCACGACCTGTACTGCAACACCCGCCGGTCGATAGAAGCCCCAACTGAGAGGCCTGGTGAGCGGCGCCAGGCCGAGATGAAGCGTTTGTACGGGGACAGCGCTGCCAAGATCCAGGCCATGGAAGCTGCGGTGCAGCTGAGCTTTGACAAGCACTGTGACCGAAAGCAACCCAAGTACTGGCCGGTCATCCCCCTGAAGTTCTGAGCTCGGGGCACAGGGCACCCAGCCTCTCCCTCTTCCTTTTGGGTGCATGCTCTTCATCTATCCTGTACATTTCTTAGGGAAAGGGGACTTTGTACTGGGGCACAGGCATGTTCACCACAGTCCCAGTGGGCCTGTCACGGGGTGGATGTACTATGCCAGCCGCTTGGAGGTCTGCAGCACATGTTCTGTTGCCAACATGATAAATTTTCTCCTGACATAAAAAAATTTTGTATATACTATACTGGTTTTTTATGTTGTTGGTAACAGTTCAGTTCATTAAAGTTCTTGCCTAGAGATACTGCCTGGTATTTTGCTTTTTTATCTTTTCTTGTCTTTAATCTGTCTGAACTACACAAATGCCTTTAAAAAACCAGATATCCTCTCTGACTCTAGCTCCATTAGCCCCCACTAAAACTGAGCCAAGTGTTTTGTGAGACAAATACCACTTCCTCTAGTGGAGAGGGATGTATGTTCTATAAAGGGCCAGAGAGTGAATATCTTTGGCATTGCAGGCCACATGGTCAGTGTTGTGACTACTCAACTCTCCCTTTGTAGTGTGAAAGCAGCTGTAGACAGTAAGTAAACAAATGGGTGTAGCTGTGTTCTAATAAAACTTGATAAAAACAGGTAGCCGGGTGCATTGGTTCATGCCTGTAATCCCAGCACTTTGGGAGGCCGAGGTGGGCAGATCACGAGGTCAGGAGATTGAGACCATCCTGGCCAACATGGTGAAACCCCGTCGCTACTAAAATACAAAAAATTAGCCGGGCATGGTGGTGTGTGCCTGTAATCCCAGCTACTTGGGAGGCTGAGGCAGGGGAATTGCTTGAACCCGGGAGGCGGAGGTTGCAGTGAGCTGAGATCGTGCCACTGCACTCCAGCCGAGAGACAGAGCAAGACCGTCTCAAAACAAAAACAGGCTGCAGGCCAGATTTGGTCTACAGATGGTAGTTTGCCAACTGCAGCTCTCATGGAATGAAAATCATCTGCCTGACATTTTTATTCTTGTTATCTCATTATCTCTACAGAGCTTAGATGTCATACAGAATTGAGAGCAAAGAACAATAATTCCGGCCAGGCGCGGTGGCTCATGCCTGTAATCCCAGCACTTTGGGAGGCCGAGGTGGGCAGATCACGAGGTCAGGAGATCGACACCATCCTGGCTAACATGGTGAAACCCCCATCTCTACTAAAAATACAAAAAATTAGCCGGGCATGGTGGCAGGTGCCTGTAGTCCCAGCTATTCGGGAGGCTGAGGCAGGAGAATGGCATGAACCCGGGAGGCGGAGCTTGCAATGAGCCGAGATCGTGCCACTGCAGTCCGGCCTGGGCGAAAGAGTGAAAACCAGCAAACAATAATTCCCAAATCTGGTAACTTCTGCAGTCACCTCTGTTGTAGAAAATGCACAGTTGAATTACTATATACAGCAAATCTTGATTTGATAAAGGAATACATTTCTGAAAATGAAATCTAAAAGCTGATGGAGCAGGTCATTTATAAAAGCCAGCTGCCTTTTAAATAAGTTATTCCAGTACATTGCCAGGGTGAGCCCATGTCGACCTGAGAAGATTAGCACATCCATCAAAGGGTGGTGAAAAGATTCAGTATTGACATGTTTCTCTCTAAAAACAGTTCTTAGTTGGCTTCACATTCAGCCCCTGCCCTGAGACATTCTTTTCATCAGCCCTGGGTGCTTATTTTTCTAAGCTCTCATTTTATTACAGGAGTCATAATTTGTGTGTAGGTGTTGCAGACAAAAATGATAATTAACTTTCCATTGAGGTGACACATAACTAAAATTTCAAATCTTTAGTATTTCTCCCTTTCATTTTAAATTCATATGCCTAACTATAAAATAACTGACTGAGATACAAGTACAAACCAAAGTTTGGAATTGCAGCAGGTGCTTAGGCATTTGAAAGTGAAATGTTTCTCTTCACAAAGAACTCTTATACCCTCCCCTAAAGAAATCACCAGGCCGGTCTCACCCCTACTGGCTTTGTGACCTAAGGCTTTACCTCTCAGTGCTTCTGGTTCCTTCTTTATCCTTGAAATGAGTGTTAACTCTCTCGTGGGGTCATTGTAAGGACCACATTGAGTAGTGCCTATACAACAGTGCTGGCTACACGGTAAATACTCAATAAATGTTGACACGTTTATTCCCTGTCTTCAAAAATCGCTGAAAAGTGCCAGTGGGAGTCTTGAGTATAAAATTTCCAAATACAGAGAAATGTTTTCCTGTCAGCTCTACGAATGGATGCGCTGGTTTCTGGACACCTCATGCCAGCCCATCCTTCCTCCTGCATGTCTCAGATAATTTGTGATACAAGGCACACGTGACTCGTTTGTTCGTTTATCCAGCAAATATTTGAATTTCTTCCATTACAGTTAGTTAAACCACAGTCTCTTCCCTCAGGATTTTTTCTTCCTCCCTTTTTTTCTTCTAAATCCTACTTTTGCTTCTGTCTGTTGGTGACAGTCTGACGGCTGTTCTCCCTGTGTCGCTGTGCATGTGAGAGTAGCTGGGCATGCAGAGCTAATTAAATGTCTCTAGCTCAGGCTGGGGGTGGTGGCACACATCCTGTATCCCAGCACTTTAGGAGGCCGAGGTGGGCAGATTGCCTCAAGTCAGGAGCTCGAGACCAGCCTGGCCAACATGGTGAAACCCTGTCTCTGCTAAAAATACAAAAATTAGCCAGGTGTGGTGGTGCACCCCTATAGTCCCAGCTACTCGGGAGGCTGAGGCAGGAGAATTGCTTGAACCCGGGAGGTGGAGGTTGCAGTGAGCTGAGACGGTGCCACTGCACTCCAGCCTGGATGACAGAGTGAAAAAAGAAAAAAAAAAAGTGTCTCTAGCTCTTTGACCAGTCACAGAAGAATCTGTGGATATCTTCTCTGATAGGATCACATGGCCTTTTAACAAGGCCACCTTTGCCACCGAGGGGAACATGTGTTGGAGGCACCAATGTCTGATGGGAAAAACAAACTTCTCTTTCTCTACTCTCACACTCAACACAACACAGAGCACTTCTGACACCAGATGTCAGGGGGCTTTTCCCCACACATCAAGCAATTTCTCCAGGGGCCACCAACTGGGTGTCCTATAATTCATTTCTGACACTATCTATCTGGAGGTAGCATCAGATCCCACAAGTTAAAGGCCCAGTCCCACAGGATTGCCCCCAACTTCAGATGCCAATCACAAGTAGTAGGTTGTCACCTATACTTCTGACCGAACAGCTATCAGTTAGGGTTCCCACGACCTCCTCTTTGGGTTCGATTAACTTCCTAGGAAGGCTCACAGAACTCAGGCTCGCACTTCTTGTGTTTATCTGCTTACTAAAGGATAGTACAAAAGATACAGATGAACAGTGAAGAGATGCATTGGGCAAGGTATTTGGAAAGGGGTGCAGAGCTTCTATGTCTCTCTGAGCACACAGCCCTTCAGGAACCTCCACATGTTCAGCAATCCAGAGGCTCTCCAAACCCAGTTCTTCTGGGGTTTTTATGAAGGCTTCATTACATACTCATGATTGATTAAATCATTGGCCATTGGTGACCAACTCAACCATCAGCGCATCTCCCTTCCCTGGAGGTTAGGGGGTGGGCCTGAAAATTCCAACCTTCTAATCATGTGGTTGGTTCGGTTCCCCTGGCAGCTGGCCCCCAACCCAAAGCTGTCCAAGAGCCCACCAAGAGTCACCTCATTAGAACAAGAGACTGCCATCACCCAGGAAATTCCAAAGCATTTAGGAGCTGTGTGTCAGGAACTAGGGTCAAAGACCAAATAATAATAGCCACATAATAATAGCAAACAATTGGAAACAAATTAAGTGTGCAACAAAAGACTTTACAACAAAAGACTTTCCTAGTGCCTCTGTCTACAAGAGTTTCAGGGGCTCTATGTCAGAGACCAAATATATATATTTTTTATTATCTCACAATATCACACAATGGGGGCAGGCAGACCACCTACAAGCCTATTGCAGAAAAGATGTTCAACCTCACTGGTAACCAGAGAACCACTAATTACAATAAGAGTGATTTTCCATACCCTTCAGATAGGCAAATGTCTAAAAAGAAGAAAAATGCTGGCCAGTCACGGTGGCTCGTATCTGTAATCCCAGCACTCTGGGAGGCCAAGGCGGGCGGATTGCTTGAGGCCAGGAGTTCAAGACCAGCCTGGCTAACATGGTGAAACCCTGTCTCTACTAAAAATACAAGAAAAAATTAGCCAGGCATGGTGCCATGTACCTGTAGTCCCAACTGCTTGGGAGGCTGAAGCAGGAGAATTACTTGAACCCAGGAGGCAGAGGTTGCAGTGAGCTGAGACCGTGCCAGCCTGGGCAACACAGAGCAAGACGCTGTCTCACAAAAGAAAAAAAAAAAAGAATAAAAATGCCAAGTGTGGCAAGGATGTAGAGAGAAGGCAACTCACATTGCTGTGGGAGTATAGGTTGATCCACCCTGTTGAAGGGCACGGTGGCATTTTTCTTGCAAAGTTAAAACAGGCACATATGATCCAGCAATCCTACTCTCAGGTGTATGCCCAAGAGACACTCTTCCATGCGGGCACAAGGAGGTGCACAAGAAAATGGGCACTGCCACATAATAATAGCAAACAATTGGAAACAAATTAAGTGTGCATCTACAGGATGTGGGTAAGTAAACTGTAAGGGCTCCTGGCATACTACAGGAGCCCTTAAGAGAAACGAGCTAGACTACATGTATGAAAATGCTAGTGTCAAGGTGAAAAAGGAAGTTGTGTAGGTATGGCATGATAACATTTAGACATAACTTTAAAAAATACACACTATGCACGCATATATGTACTAAAATCTAGAAACATGAATGGAAAAGATTCACACACATACACCCCAACTTCAGAATAGTGGTTAGTTGTGAGTAGGGAGAGGTTGAGACACCACTCAAAAGGGGTTTTTCTATCTGTCTAATGTTTAATTTCTGTAGAACAATAAAGCAATGGTAGTAACCTAGCTTTGATGGAGACCCCTAAATTTATCAAACTCTATTCTAACAAAGTAGTTTATCTTTCACTTCATTTCTAGGGTTAAATGTTACAGGAAATGTTTACTTTATCAAACACTTAAATAGAGCTTACTATAAGCCTCACACTCTTCTAATTGCTTTACAAATACTAATTTCTTTAGCAATCAATCTATGACAAACCTATGAGGTAGCTATTACAGGTACAAAACCTGTTTTCCAAAACCCTTAGATCATGTATATTTCGGAATGTAGACATTTTCATACTTTTGAAAAGTAAAACAGCA